TATGAAATATTTCTCCAAATATTTAATACAGTGTGAAAAACAGTAGAGATTTTGTATTTTTGGCTTCATGTCCTTTGTTTCTCTTCTATCTGCCAATTCATATTGAGACTCTACTGAACTGATTTTAAAACACGGAGAGTTAATCCATCCTCTGTTTACGTTGCTTCAGAGACTGCGTGCAGTGCAAAGCGTTTGAGGCCGGTGAGAAGAAGGATATATGTGAGCGGGACTGCAGCTACTTCAGGCTGATCAAGGTGAAGGATCGCGACAAGCTGCCCCAGCCCACCGACCAGAGCTTCCCACTGACTCACTGCAAAGAGCGAGATGCCAACGACTGCTGGTTCTACTACACCTACGCCATCAGGAATGACACCAAGGAGGTCTATGTGGTGGAGAACTTGGGTATGATCAGAATCTAAATTAAATTGGGATAGAAAACATTGAATGTAATATGATGCAGTTTGAGTGCATCATTATTTTTACATCAACCGACAATGGGACTGGAGCCACTCACCCGTGTTAAAAAAAAACCTGCGTGTACATGGTACTTTAAATAACAGTAGTAGTGGTAGCGGCAGTATAATAGTATGACGAAGGGTGATCCAGTTAAAGAGGTGGGTTCAGGAATTGTTTATCAGGTACCTTGACATTGTGAGAGGATTTTATGTTACTGTCTCAGGAAATAACATTTATCTTATCGATCTGTTATCTGATCTTCTATTTTTTAAGTTGACTTTTTTCTCTTTGGTTTCCTGTGTTTTTTAGAGTGCCCATCAGGACCTGACATCATCCCCATCGTGGCAGGTGTGGTAGCGGGCATCGTGCTGATCGGCCTCGCCCTGCTGCTCATCTGGAAACTGCTCATGATCATCCACGACCGCCGAGAGTTCGCCAAGTTTGAGAAGGAGAAGATGAACGCCAAGTGGGACACTGTGAGTCAGTCGCATCTGGAGCAATAAACAATCGTTCCTCTCCTTCATGTGCAGTCTGCACTCTTTTTCAGTGTTGGAATATTTTCTCCTTAACTGGTGTTATTTTAGCTGCTGGAAATTATACTCTGGCTCTTCTCGGTTTTAAAAGGATTGATTGTTTTTGGACTTTCCAGTTCTTCATTGAGCACCACATTGTTGGTTCTTATGGCTGGTTGAAAGTAAATCATCTAAAAAGTTGTGGAAACCGAACAGACAGACTCTCCAGCTCTCTGTCCTTGATCAATCTGAGCTCCATTCTGTTCTGTTTAGTCTTCTCTCACTGAGGGGAGCAGCCTTCCCTCAGCCGACAGTGCTGCCACTCACTGTCCACACGATACAACTGCACAACCATAAAAGGCAATGAAGCCGAGACAGAGGAGGGCCGCTGGGTGACAACTGGAGGAAGCTTCACTGCTGCTCACTGTTTTTTTAGGCACAGGAGCTGAGGTTATGGTTTAATTTAGGAAGCAGGCATTCATCACAGGTTGACAGCGTTTTTCGGAATTGCTTATAGACATCATTACTTAAATAGATATTAGCATCTAGTTCCCCAAGTTGCTCTCTTTTAGTAGTATTGTCTTCTCATGTAATCAAAGTCATATGGTTTATGTAGGGATAGATATTTTTAATTTACTTTGTTTTTACGTCGATCAAGTTTTATTTAAATTAATTTTAGATTGTTTTTATTTTGCTAAAGTTAAAAAAAACAACTTAATAAATGTAAAAATGAAATGAATCAGTTCACAGTTCAAATTCAAAACAGAACAACGTGTCATTCTTGGCATGTTGGAGAGAATACACAGGTAAATAACGACCGGAAAGAAATTTCTTTTTAATCTTTCCTGCTGTGCTGAGCATTTCTCCTCAGGCTTTTATTCCTGTCCTATCCACTGCTCTGCTCATGTCATATTCATCTGTTTTTCCTTTCACCTTCCCTCTTTCTTTCCCTATTTCCTTGTTTCTCCACATTAGCAAGGAAACCCCATTTACAAGAGTCCTATTAACCAGTTCCAGAATCCCAGCTATGGGAGTAAATCAGCTGCTCTTTAGGTCAAAGTTTGTATCACCTGTTGGATGCATGAACTTCTCTGTGTGGCTTTGAATCTTGGTTGACTTGATGACTGCATGTTGTGAAATTAGCACATTTAACCAGAGGTGGCGTTGTTTGCCTTTTTCTCTTGGCAGGAAAAACACTAATATGAACAAACAAAGTGATTTAAAAATGTTTGAACATTCAGACCAAATTGTTGCTTCAAGCTATTGATGAGAAAGTTGAACAATGTAGTCACATGCACTTTGCCGTTGTGCTGTGAAAGTGTTCAAGCTTATCGTCGTCGAAATGTTGTTATCATTACACCAACAACCGGAGGCCTGCGCTAGTTCAACATACCCAACATATCTTTTGACTATCTGGCTTCACTGAGCCTGACATTCATGTGTGGTATAGTTTTTCTTTACAAGACGTCGGAGAGTTTTTATTTCATATTATCGTCAGTCTTCTCGTGTTATGAGCTGCAGAGACGAGTAAAATCATCAGTACAGTCAGGAATCAAATTGAAATGGAATATTTATTATGTAATAATTTAGTGTTGATGAACTGAAGTCACGTGAAAAGTGGAACAGCAATCTGATCCCACTGATCTACAAAAATATCTGTTGCTCTGTATTATTTGTCCTCGTCAGGATCCTGTAAAACGATGATTATTATCTCTTGTTCTTTGTATTTTCTATAACCAAGCAACCAAACGTACAGTAGACAGTCTGCTGCTTAATTGGTGTGGATGTGGCGTAACCGTGGTGATTTACCCTGCTTTATCAGCACTTTAACGCTGAAAACTCCTGATTCTTAGTACAGGCCCCTGAACCACCTGAAGGTTTGACGGGTGCTGTGGTTTGTTACTCTGATTCCTCAAAACTATTTTTAACTCACTCAGTTGTTTTTCTCTCTTTCTCAGGGAGAGAATCCGATCTACAAAAGTGCCGTAACAACTGTCGTCAATCCAAAGTACGAGGGCAAATGATGGAGCTTTGCCTTGGCTGTGTCAACACTGTATGGAGAAGAATCATGGGTCCGGGTGAAGGGAGGGGCGGGTTTTATAATGCTCTCACTGTTTGTTTGTTTTGTTTGTTTGTATGTTGTAGTCACCAAAATGATAGCAATGCATTCTGCCACTATTTCAGTTTGTTTTACTAACTTGGTTTTTTTTCTATGCATCGTCTGAAATGTGTACAGTCTGTGTAAATGTGGGGTTTTATATTTTATTTTGTGCCTCTGCAGAACTTGAGAGAAAGTGTTGTGAACAGATTTTCTTCTCTGCCACAGGACTGGCAAAGTTACGAAATGCCTATCTGTGCCTTTTTATAGAACCGCCAAGCCATCAGTGTTTTGTTGAGGGTCTAATTGGACGTTGATAATGGGCAACAAATGAAGTGTTCATTTCCAAATGATCATGCATGCGTGTCGATCAGTCGCTGACCGTCGAGCAAAGGTTTTATTGCGTCTCTAATCATTTTCGATATCACACTTTTTTTATTAATCGTGTCTTTGGATTGAACTCTTCAAAAGTAGCGCCAGTCGGCCGTGTGTGGCAGCAATGAATTGTGTACAGTATGTTTTGGGGTTCTGTGTAAAGCCATATATGTATTCACAGAACCAGGTTGGAGGCGTTAGTATTTTTTTTTGTCAGAGTGACTTATTCCATCTGAACAATCAATTGAATCGTGTCTTTATCTACAAAAGATATTTTCTTGCGTCGCCTTTCTAGCTGAAAGGACGTCAGTGTACAGTCGTGTTTCTGTTTGGCTCCAGGTTTTACTTTGCTTAAGTTAAAAGCCAACTCAGGTCCTGAATTCTTCACAGCAATGCCAAATACGCAAACCTGCCTTATTATTTGCTAACTAATTTAGCTTATATTGAAAATCCTTGTCTTTATTTGTAGTAAATGAACTGGGTAATGGTTCCCAGTTTTTCTTTTTTTTAACGTGAGTAATTCCACCCTGCCATTTGTCGGTGCTTCGATCAAACAATTTTTTTATTGAACAGAAATAGGAATGGATAAAAATCAGTGATGAGAGGATGATTTTTGTAAAGTTAAAAAAAAAAAAGGTTACACTAGTCACCATTGTTTTTAAGTGCCTTTTTTAATTTCTACAACACATTCACATTTGCAACTCTGTATTTCTGAAAATTATTTATTGAATAAACATTCAAAACAATTTGTCCAGACATTGTAAAGATGTTATTGTGCAGTTACTTTAGTATTGTTGTGTTTAGAGGCCTGTTATTGATGTGCATGAATCCAGCGGGAAAAAAACGAATGTGAATTATCTGCTGTGGTCCCAAAACACAACACGAGACAAACGAGGAAGTGTTTCAGTGATCGATACCTTATCAACACCAATCTTCTGATGAATTGATTTCTATCGGTCCAGAGACATTGAACAGAAGAATTAATAAAAATAATACAGCGTATATTGATTTTGAAATGTAAACATCTGACCCTGATCTCATCATCACGGAATCAGTCTGAGATCACATGAAGACACAGGAAACGCTGACGGGTCCTCTCTACAGAGGCCGCCATGTTTTTTTTGGTTTTTATTTTACAGTAGACAAGACTGGACAAACTAAACCTTTTGAGTTTTTACAACAACTAAAGCTGGGGGGAGGGGAGGGGGGTATTAAGCTGCACCATGACACTTCACCACTAGATGTCACTAAACTACACACTGAACTTTTAGGATATATATATGTTGTTTTATATATATATATATATATATATATATATATATGTGTGTGTGTGTTGTGGGAACTGTAGATAAAGTATAATATGATATTAAGATAATATAAAAGTAGAGCCTCATTATAACGTAAAACCTCAGCCAATCACAGGGGATGGAACGTGACGTCACATGCCCTAGGAAGAGGGGGGGGCTCTCCACAGGTGATTGGTGGCCGCTTCTGTCCAATCACAGGCCGCGTTTCACAGCAAAGTTGTTAACCCCCAACAGTGGCACTTTGGTTTCCAGCGCTCCAGTTTCACATCGGCAGCAAAACAACCGACTTCCCCCGAGAGAAACGCGCCTGTACCGGGCAGGATACGACCCGAAGAGCGCCTCCGAGCAAACGGGAGCACCGGGCCACCGACCGTGTGCCGCCTCACGAAGGAGACAACCCCGGGGGGAAGTGGCCGAGGCTACCGCCGCTGGTAGTCGGCTCCCTCTGTGGCTGGAGCTGCGTCGTGTTGATGGATTTTCTTTTTTTTTTTTTTGTGTGTGTTTGTGTTTTTCAAACTCGCTGAAATGTCTTTTAAATCCCGGATGATCCGCCCGGTGAGTATTTCTCCTCCTTTGAATCGATGGCCGCCTTTTAGAGAAGAAACAGGCCCGGCGTGGAAAGTGTTCCTGGCGTCAGATGATTTCATACACGCAATCAAATTCCTGGCTGGTCAGCTGGATGAGATTCAGCCGCTGAAAGCACAAGTTCCCCGGTCACTTTGTCAGCTGAGGGGTCGCGGTGTGGATCCGTGTGGTCCGGTGTGTGTGTGTGTGTGTGGGGTGGGGGGGGAGCGTTTTCATGGAGGGGACAGAACCGTCGAGTTGTCTAGTTGTGACATTAATGGCAGAAGGAGTCAGAAACCTGATCCGTCTCCTGGGCAGAGGAAACATCACAGTCGACGAGAGGCTCAGTTTCCACAGGATTCCACATCAGTGTTTCTTTATCTCATTTATTCTTCCACCGTCTTTTCTTTTTAATGCAACATTGCTGGATGTGAGGACTGTAAAGGGTGTGAGGCTGAACACTGCCAGGCAGCTGCTGTGGTCTGCCGGGGAACTGCTCGGCCCTGGCCTGCATGGGTCCGGATCCCTCACTTTACCCCCCCACCTACACCCACCTCGACCATACAAGGACTCAAACAGAGGGGGGGGGGGGAGACCTGCACCCATCAGGATTAGATCTGCCTCATGCAGACAGGCAGGATCATTATTAGTAAATGATTCCCTTGAAGAGCCTGTTTACTGCACCTGATTGGTACCAAGTCAAAATAAAACAAGGTATAATTCAGCAGAGAGAGAAGTCTGGGTGTTGGGTGACAAACCCCCACCCGCATGAGACAGCAGGAGGCCAGCAAGTACAGAGTATGTGTCCTGAAAATACTCTTTGTCGGAGTGAGCTCGTCAGAAAACATCAATCAGGAAGAGCAGAATGAGCTCTTGTCATTTTGACACAATCACAGGAAACACAGGCCCGACTCCGACTTGAGTTATAGCATTTGTATCATAGGGTGGGGATTAAACGAGTATTTCAGGGTGTTGTCGACAGTACCACCCACAGAATAACATGAAATATGAATTCATTGTTAAAATGTAGATCCTCCAATTCTTACTGTTTTCAACACAGCAACATGCAAATATATCAAACATCCTTAATGTCAGTTATCTCACCTGTAAGACAGCAGATCAGGTGAATTGTCTGACGCTGTGGTCATCATGTATCACAGGTATAACTCGGCAGGTCAATTATACATTTGTACCCTGTGGTTTCATGCGTTGTAGAGTTTATCACAATGCTGCTTTGCATTACACATCTCCTTCCTGGTTCAAACATGAATTTGTTTAGATCTAATTCCAACTATACAACTGTTTATCTCTAACAGATGGGGACCTCTAGTGGTATTCAACATTAATATAAAGCAGAACCAGAGAGGCCGTTTAGCCAAAGCACTTATTTATCACGCTTAAAGGTTCAGTGTGTAGAACTTAGTGACGTCTAGAGGTGAAGTTTCATGTTACAGCTGAATACTCCTCATCTCCCCCTCCCCCTTCCCAACATGAAGGAGAACCTGTTGTGAACTTCAGTTGTCATGAAAACTCAAAAGGTTTGGACGACAGTAAAAAACGGCCTCCACAGAGTTGACCCCCCCCCCCCATGTAAATATAAAGTTTATAAAGGCCCAATCTATGGTAAAGAAAATAATAATTCATACTATTTAGATGAAACACACCAGTGAAAATATCATAAGGATTATTTTATATTCAATTTCTGCCAAAAATCCCTTTCACCTTAATCTTACACACTGAACCTTTAAATCAGCTTGCTAGCACGTTCACAGCGACCGATGCTAGCAATTGATGAAAAGTCAATCACATATTTTTAAGACTTGTAGATGTGAATGTTAAACTTTTTTCTTAATCTAGGAGGATGTGGAGCTACTGTATGTCACTGCATGATAAATGAACCTACTCATGGTGCTAGCTAAAGGATGAATAGGTAAAATCCAAATTATCATCTGGAGAGCTTACAAATATTTGTCCCAGACATCATGGCAGTCTTCTCCAAAGTAGTTGAAACATTTGACACAAAACATTTCAACCTCATGGTGGCGCTCTGGGAAAGGTCAGGGCACCACCAAAGTCATGAGGATTCATCTGCTGAGGAGCATGAATAGAAATAGAAAATGTACCTTGTTGGCTAATCATTTGTAACATCGCAGAGGGAGACATGTGGAATACTAATCAGACCTAACGGTGGTTATTTAGCTATGTACACATCCAGAAAATCAATTAATCTTTTTAAGAGGAATTCACTATAAAAGTGTCCATGTGGTGTAACCTGTGAGAACTGCCAGGTGTAGTCGTTGGAGCACTGGACAATCGTCATCAGGTGGTGGACTAACTTTTTGTCCCATCTCTGTTAAATCAACAAATAAAATGCATCGATTAACTTTAATTCTGTTCTCACCAGCAGGTTTTATTTTTTTCCTGTGTTGTTGTCATAATGTGTTTCTGTTGGTGTAGTCGGAGTTTTTGCTAAATGTCCCATGTTGCTCTTGGCTCTCAGGTCCTTATGATGCCGTCAGTGGATTTAACGATGATAAGAACACCTCTCTTCATCTGGGTGGACCCTGGATAGACCCAATGTCATCAACAGGTAAGATATTTTATTGGTTATAAAATGTTATTATAACTGAGAAAAACAACTGCTGTGGATCCCTTTGGCTCTGGTTGTGAGTCAGACTTGAACCTACGTCATCTTTGGGTGGAAACACATTCACCAAATGTGTGTTTGTACGTGAGTGAAAACACTTGAAGGTGTCCTGTCCTGAAAATCAGGGTCCTTTGCCTGTGAGACCAGACGAGGGCGACATTGTTCACCAGGTGAACAAGCTGCCATGAAGGGACTCACCTGGAACCAACATTTCTTTAATCATTATCTGTTCTGGGATCAGTGGATGTGAATTGTTCTCTCAGGTCAGTTTGCAGGAGCAGTTTGTTCTGTGCTGCTTGAGGTGTTGGCTCGTAATGAATTTAAGATTTTATTTCTCTGGTTTTGTACTAAAGCATAAAACCAAGTACCAGATAAGACATCTTCAGAGTTAAGTATTTGATTTAATACAACTTGCAACCCTGATTAAT